AGGATGTCTTTTTGTTGTTACCTTATTAACGGTTGTGAAATGTTTCTAATGAAACTATCGAGTTCTATAAGCATCTCTTATACTTTACCTTATTTCAAAGTTACTATGTTATATATAGTTATATAATCTCAAGCAGAAGATGTTTTTGTGAGATAAAAGGTTAAGCTCTTTAATAAGACACTTCAATAAAGCACTCACTTTACACATATCTATATTATCCCCTTTTATTATGATACCACGCATAGATCCCTTCTATAGGACAGGCTCCCTACGATGCCCTACTAAGGAATTTTTGTTTAACAAACCTAACTTATTTGTAAATAGTATAAAACCTAAGTTATATATATTTTTTCATCTAAGTTACTTGGAAAACTAGTTTAAATTTACTATCTACGGAAAACTTTATCTTACTGCTTAAATAATTTATTAAAATCATCGACTTTATATTTCATTTTGTTATTAATATTCAGCAGATGTAAATCGTACTTAACTTTATTTTTGCTTAAGGAATTAGGAGGTAACCAACTTGGTTCGGTAGATGGTAGATTTCCTATGGAGCATACCAAATTAATCGATTGTAAGTTATAATTTTTTGCAAAATTTTAAGTACATTGTTAGTACTCTTCAGTATTAATGACAATTTTTTTTCTTTATATAATAATCGAAGAACTGGCTAGGTAATAACTTTTTTTTAATAAAAAAAGTAAAACAACCTAATCTACCGACTAGGGTATCGATGTAGTGTTTTAGTTTGGTAGTACCATCATTATTATTAAATAAAATTTATTAATGTTTATTATATTGATATTAAAAAAAATTTAGTTTAAGGATCGTGAACAATATTTAACTTTTTTTAAAAAATATTTAGAGAGCTATATCTACTAAACCTCTGACTTTTACACGATATTGTGATATAAACTTTGTAAGTAACAGTTTTTCTTTAGTCCATTAACTTAAAGGAATATGATTTTTATTAATATGGTTAGGTACCTATATAACTGCTCTATTTGAATCAGTTTTGATGGAGCATTTCCTAGACTTTCGGCGTAAACGCTCCTGTAAAAATTTATATTCTTTAAAATTAGCTTAGTCAAGGTATATTGTTGTAAAAGTAATCCCGTTTCATGTGATTTGGAGCAATAAAAAAAGTACATTTGTAAAGTTTATTGCATTAAGTCCTTATGCAGACCTTTTTAATTACTTATGCTATTATTATTTTTAAAAGGGATTTACACTACAATAAAATTACTAAATCAATGGGGAAACGCTTATGGGGCTACAAAAGTAGTAAGTTTATAACCTAAGTTTAAAAACATGTAAATAAACCTAAAAATACTAGGGGTAATCTATTATCACTGTAGTTTTTTTTATGATGGTATTAATAATTATTATAAAACAAAACTCCAATAAAAAGGTAATTAGCTTCAATAAAATATTTGATAAGTTTAAAGAAAGGCTGGAATGTTTAGTATATAAACTAGTACTCCTTTACGCAATGCTCAGTTTTTACTTTTTTACCCTTGCAACTAGTAATTTAAATTTATTTTTTTTAAGTTAAAATTATTGAAAAAAATATTTAATTCTTTTTAAATAATGGTAATAAGGGATGTAGCTTAAAAAGGATATAATAATAATGTGGATATCTTTCCGAAGTTGTTATTATTATATTAAAAAAAAATTTACTTCTATTTGGAAAAAAAAGAATTGTCTCCGCTTTATGTCACCAATTATCAATTATGGGTAAATATTTAAAGTTCGGTGTAACTTTAACGATAACGCTATACTTGGTAATATGATGGCCTAAGTTATTAAAATTCCAGCTATATAATTTTCTTCATTCCGCTATATAATTCAGATGTATTTATATTTAAATTTCAATGGTTCTCTTATTTTAAGCAAATATGCGAAATTAGTTTTATAATAATTTCAAAGAAAATGCTATTTTATTTCACTTACGGATATTTTTAACACAGAAATATGTTTTATAATAAAATCAAATCAGTTTCTTCTAAAGTCTTTTCAATGTTAGGAAAGCTAATCTACTTGTAAGTGTTTTTGGGCTCTCCTATAAAAACAATTTTTAGTAACAATATCACGACTTAAATAACTTTAGCATATTACCGCCATTTAAAATATAAAGAAACCTCACTAATAAAAAGTTTTTCTATTAAAATGTAATTTTTCATAATAAAACTTTTATGATTCATATAATAAGAATAGAACTTAAAATTAAAAAAAAAAAGATTTCCTAATAAAATCATAATTATGTAAAAAAAAAAAAAAAGAAAGTGATAAAAAAAAAGTTTTTTAATTCCTATTTTATTTTGATATATTAATAATAAATCTAAATAGTTAAGAATTAATATAAACAATAATAATTAAAATATAAGTAAAGTTATAAAGGTAAAGTTTTTATATTAACATTTATAATGAAAAAAGTAAAAGCAATAATAATAGTAATTATATAATAATATAATAAAAGTGTTAAATAAATAAGTTTTTATTATAAAATTAATAAATAAAAGTTATTAAATAAAAACTATTGAAACAAAAAATATTGAAAGCAAAATTCATATATTTAAATAATTGATAACTATTTTACTGCTTTTCTATAATAATTTTTAGAAAAAAAAAATAATATTTACTTTTTATCAATTAAGAAATTTTTTTTTAAAACAAATTTCAAAATTGTTAATGAAATATCTTTTTTAAAAAGGTGTAATATTAAAAAATACAAGAAAAAAAAATTGATTTCTAATAAAATAAAAAAGAATTTTAAAATTTCTTAAAGAAGTAAATAAAAATTTAGAAAAAAAAATATTTTATAATAAAAATTAAAAAAAACGAAGCGATTTACTGAACTAAAAACTCCAAGCAAAAATATATATTATAAATTGAAATAGAAAAATAAATACAAATAAATAAATAATTAATTATAATTTAGTAAGGAAAATAAAAATATTAATAATAGTTAAACTCTAATAAAATATAAATTTATATAAAACTAAAAAAAAATTATTAACTAATTAAAATAATAAATAATAAATATTAAAATTTCATAAAAAATAATTATAAATTAAAATTTTTATTAATTCTAATCAGAAATTTACTTATAATATCCAGAAAACAATAAATTATTATAAGCAACGAAAAAAAAATTACATTTAATCTGTACCTAAAAATTTTTACACCTAAAATTAATTAAAAAAGTTATTAAAAGTAAAAAGTTAAAAGATTTATATAATAATTAATAAAAGTAATAAGAAATTTTATAAATTTACTTATATTTTTTACAATAAAAATAATTACTAATTTTTACTTTATTCAATTCGTAACAATATTTTTTTATTACATGATTTTTAAAATTGTATTTAGAAAAATTATAAAAATTTTTAAAAAATATAAACAATATTTTAAAATACTTTATATTAATAATAATCAATAAAAGTACTAAAATTTTTAAATTTTTATTAACTTTTACTTTAACGTAAAAGAAAATTCAAAGATTCAAATTTTGTAAAATTATAAATAAAAAAAATATTTTTTTTAAAAAATAGTATTTTATGTTAATATTAGTGAATAATAGAACTAAAACTTGATAAATATATTAATTTTTACGTTATTGTAACGAGGTTTTTATTAAATAAATTCTTTATTAATAATAAATAAAAAGAAAAATATAATTTTTAAAAAATTAAACAAAATTTAAAAGTGATTTATATTAATAATAAGTAATAAAAGTACTAAAAAAATTTATTAACTTATTAAAACTATAATTTTTACTTTAATGTACATAAATTCCTTAAATAATAAAAAATAAAATTTTAAAAAAAATAAACTAATTTAAGTGCCAAATTATTTATAAAAATATTAAAAATTTGAAAAATATTAAAACTTTCTTATAAAAAATAATCTCTAAATTTACTTTATACTCCTTAAGAATATTTAATTAATTTAATTTTTTAAATTGTACAATATTTTTTTATAAATTTATAAAATTAAATAAAATTTAAAAGTGATTTATATTATAATAAATAATAAATATTAAATGAATTAAAATTTATTTAAAATGTTATAAAAGAAATTAATTTTTAATGTTTATTGTAATTATTATTTTATAGTAAATTTTATAGATTACATTTTCTAAATTAATTAAAAAATTATAAATTTTAAAAAAGAAGCAAAGTTTAACAATTAGTAATGAAAGTATTAAAATTTTTATAAAAAATTAACGCTAATTTTCCTTAGAATTTTATTAAAATAATTTCTTTTAAGGAAATTTAAAAAATTATAATTAAGTAAATTAAAATTCAGACATAAGTAAACAGTAATTCTATAATAAAAATGTAAATAAAATATAAAAGTGAATTTTATTAATAATTAAAAATATTAAAGTAATTTTTAAATTTACTAAAAATATTTATAAAAAATTATTTTACTAAAATTAATTCTCAAAAGTAAATAATATAAATTTAAATTTAGCAAATTATAAAAAAATGATAAATTTTAATATAAGTAAACCAAAAATTGAGTATTTCATATTAAATAACTTATTTAAACTAATCTTATATAAATTAATTTTTACAGAAATAAATTCTCAAAAAGTTATTAAATTTTAACAAATTATAAATAAAAAAATAAATAAATTTCTAAAAAACATTACCTTCTAAGTCGGTTCTGTGTTTTATAGTTGTTAAGTTCTATTATAACGAAAAAAATTTTAAACAAATTATTAGTGGTTACGAAAAAAAATATTAAACTAAAATTATAAAAAACTAAACTGATTTTTTGAAAAAACAATAAAATTAATAAAAATAAAAATTTCAAAAAAGTAAAAATTATTATTACTCGCGAATTTAGACGTTAGTAGTAGCAGTAGGTCTTTCAGACCCTTTAGTTTTAAATTTTTTACTTTTATATTAAATAAAAAATTCCGTAAATTTTTAAACGGATTGTTTATTGAGGTATTAAGATACAGGTCACACTAAACTTTTAACTTCTATCTATTTGGAAAAATTAGAAAACAAATTAATTTCCAGATCTGAGGCTCCCTGCGACTCCTGTAGGTTAAAAAATAATGTTAAACAAATTATTATTGCTTTAAAATAAAATTTAATAATAGCAAATTTAAAACAAAAAATGTAAAAAAAATTAAGAATTCGGTTAAAAAAAATTAATTTACTAAATAAAAAAATTCAAAAATTTTAAGAAAAAAATCGGTACTTAGTAAATACAAAGCAGTAAGTTTATTTTTAAAAGAAAAAGTTAATTTTTTACGAAAAAAATAAAGAAGTGAAATATTACTTACTAAAAGTTAAAGGAGAATTAGAAATGAAAATCTGTACCAATAAATTATAAATAATATAACTTTTTATAATTATCAAATAATTTTAAATACTTAGAGCTTATGTGAAACTAAGGCCGGTAATTCATACACTTTTGTAGACTAAGGTTTGTTAGATCATGACGTTAGAAAGTGAATGAGCACCTTAAGGATTTGGGAAGTCAAGTTTTTTTTAGGGTACACAACTCTGTCAAAGCTAAAATGACAATTTTTTTAAAAGCATTTTATAGCTTATATATTTATATTATAAAGATAAATCTTTTTAGCATAATCTGAATTTCTTAAAAGTTTTAATAACTTAAAGTACTATTTAACTGTTATAAAAAACAAGAAATATTAATCTTTTTAATTTATAAGTTGGAGCTTAAATCTAATAGCTAACGGGTTTAAGGCCTAGTTCGTAAAGATGTCCCGTTAGTTAAAAGTGAGTCACTCAGCTACGCTTCCAACAAACAATAGAATTGCTCAAAATTTGTAAACTAAAATAGTTGCCGTCTTCATAATCCCACCTACGCTATAATATTTTACTGTTAAAGGTAAAGTTATAAATTCATAAAGAAATTTATTTTTATTATTGAAAAGTCGTTTAAAAAACCGCAAAAAATATAGATCAAAATGTTACATTAGGAGTAAAAAAGAATTTTAGTAAATTACCTCTAGCTCCTAAATTACAGTTACATATATTAAGATATGATAGAGACAAACGAGTTGTAAAACCTTTACACTATTTCCTCTTTATATTTACAGGAAATTTAACTTGAAAAGCTCTATATTCAAATTTATAAAAAAAATTTAGTAACAGTCATCTAGCAGAAGATAAATAAAAACTAATTTTTTTAAAAGCTTTTTTTTTATAAAGTTAAAGTACAGAAAATTATGGATAAAATGAGCCTACATAACTAGTATATCACCAAAATAGATATTATAGCCGTAATATTATTTGCTTCAACTTCTTTGCCTGTTTCTATTTAAAAGTGGAAAGTAATTTGAGTTTCTGTTTTCAGTATAGACAAATATAACAAATATTTGAATTAAGTACTGAGGCGTTTACAGTGCAGTAGACCCATTAAAGTAAATTTTTTCAACTGAAAAATAAAAAAATTCTGGAAAAACGCTAAAAAGGCGCAAGAACCTTTTGAACCTAAAGCAGTTCCAAAAAATTAAATCTCTTCTACGCTACATCTTCTAGACAAACCTTGGTCAACAAAAGAGGACAATCGGGAAGATAGTAAAATACATGAAACACTCTCAGGTGGTGATAATAGAATTCATAATAATAATTTAGTTAATAGAAGTAAAAAAAAAAAAATAAAAGTAACAAACTTAAAAAATTTTAACAGCAGTCATAATAGTAACCATAATAATACTAATAGTAATATAAATTATAAAAATAAGAAGAAGCAGAAAATTAATTATGATAGTTGTAATTGTAAGAACGATATGAACTCAAAATTGTCTTCACCACCCCAACTGCCAGAACAATAACCGTTTACCCGACCAGAATCGGATAGGATGGAAACAGAGAAACAGACACCTCGAGAAACAGCCAAAACACGTTCAGCCCCGGAAGGACAACCTACTCGTGAAGTAAAAAATCCTGTATCGTTCTTGTTAAGAAGAATATATGGGCTATTAGTGAAATCCCGAAATGCTCAGGACGCAAAGGTCCCTCTCGCTTATGACCTCTACTGGCATCCCTCTATTGTCGTCAACTGCCTAGGTCTATAGCAGAATAGTAGCACTACTACGAGAGCGCTCTTGACAACATTACTGCTACCAGTTACTCGAGGACAAACCCGTCAAGATCATGCTTCGAGGCCTTTACACCGATTTACCTATAATCGTCATTGAAAAGGCGCTACGTGTCTAGGGATTTTCACCCTTCCGCATTGTATGACTTTTTACTATTCCATTTTTGCGAGGACCGATGGCTCTTGTACACTTGCCGAAGGAGCAAGTACCTGCAGCCCTACACATTGTATTCATTAATGTCATATGCAAATATGCGTTGAACCACTTCGTAAGAGTGACAACACCGCGCCATCACTCCACTCTGTGTGGAGTGTGGGGAAAACCCTGTAACGATACAATGTGAGAAATACAGAGAGCTGCCCTCTAAGTGCGCTAATTTTGGCGAGGCCCACACTGTGGATCACCTAGGGTGTTTAAAAATATCCTCGAAAAAACGTATTTCCGCCACTGACACGTTCACGACCCAGGGAAACGCAACCAGTAACGTCGACAATCTCTTTTGCAATCATGATGGGTCAAAACCTCATGCACCGCAACTCATTTAACAATAAAGACCTATCCCTCCGAATACCTTAGCGAGATAAGGGCACCACTCTCAACTGCTCTTGAAACATTTCTTCCTGCGATTAGCAACTTGACGACAGCAAAGGATGATAGTACCCGTCCATTTTGCCACTTGCAACTATTGCAGCGGAGTGCCAATGTGTGCCCTGCAAAAGAAATGAACTGCTGCATCTGTTGCAGAGTGATGATGTGGATGTGGCTTTGTTAAACGAGACGCATATGAAAGCAGGAACGACTTTTACTCTGCAACTACATAAAGTACCTTCTTGGGTCTGGCCCCCTTGACAGACGCGACGGTGGAGTAGCTATTCTGGTGAGGCAAAATCTATCGCACCACCCGAGTGCACTCCCTAATCGAAGGGCGTTGAGGCCGCAGGTATTCCTCTCAAACTTGGTTAACACGAGACTGACTAACGTCCGTCTATAAACCTCTCTACATGGTGCTGCTTACAACTGATCTGGCTAAGCTGCCACAAACGCGGTTTGCCCGTCGTTCTCTGTGGCGACTTTAACTGCAAACACGCTGCTAGGAACAATCGAGTTAAAAGTTCGAACGGAAAGAATTCTTGAGAAATACGCGGACCAACACAACACTCGCGTGCTGGCGCCTCAACATCCGACGTTCATGGTAAAACGGGAGACATCCTCAACATAGCCATTTTAAAAAACATACATCAGTCGGTATCAACCACAGAGCTACATGAGCTCTCATCGGGCAGGCTGCCCGTCTTATTGGGGTTAGGCGAAGGCAAGGCTAAAACCGAAACTCTGGACACAGGGGGCGTTTACGGACTGGACAAAATTTACAGCTACAATTGACGTATTGCTATTTTCTGACTCCTTCTCTATTAGAAGACACAGTTGATAGTTTTTAGGGCGCACTAACTGCTGCCCATGCTGCCGCGGTAACCAGCCGAGAAATTGCGTATCACTCTGGCCATCTGTCGGGTTATTTGGTGAGCCTTATTCGTCAACGTGGCCAGTTAATATTTTGATCGCTCCTACACAACATCCTGACCACATACTGTTTCTATACTGTCTTCACCGATACATTTAAAAGGAACTGGCGCCATTCACAATAATCGCTGGGAGGCGAAACTGCGGGAGTGTCTCTGTAGCGGCCGAAGAAGGACGGCCATCTTATTACAGCATACTTGCTATTATTCCATGCAGACGCATCATTCGTGTGAGAGTTGGGATTGCGCTGTCGCCATACCGTCGAATGACATGTGGTGTTCAGCAAGGCTCTAAGCTCTCGCCATGCTCTGCGCTCTGTAGATGCGAGATATTGCACCCCCTGCGAACCCTCACTCCCGCGTTGCACTCTATGCAGAGGACGCTGCAGTTTACGCGTCATCAAAGAGCCCCTAACTATTACGGGAAACATTTGTCAGCGGGTGAGGCAGTGGGGAGTAAACATTAATGAGACGAAGAGCAAAGCAATCCCTATCTCAAGAAGCTGCATCATGCTACCCATTTTTCTAACCCTTGAAGGTGTTAAAATCCCAGGGAGTTCTCAGGCCAAATACTTGGGCGTCATAATCGATAAGGGATCAACCTGGAAGCAACTCGTAGAGTTCGTCACGACTAAGTTCAAAGCAGTAATTCACGATTCTACCCGGTGCTGTGTGCTAAAAGCACAATGCCTCTGCGCAATAAACTGAGCCTTTATAAAGTATGCGTGCGCCCTATAATGGGCTACGCCGTTGTTGCTTGTGCATATAAAAAAACCGTCGACGATTGCACCTCTCCAGACGCAGCAAAACAGGCCTCTGCGACTAGTGGCTGGCGCAGCTTATTTCGTGTGAAACGATACGTTACATGACGACCTTGGTTTGGAACGACTTAAGTCTTTTTTTTTAAATGCCTTCAGTTCTTATAAACGTGTTAGTTGGCATCCAAACCATTAGTGGCTCAAGGACTTACATATGAACCCTTGGAAGGCTCACACTTTCAGGATCCTGCCATGTGCTTTAAGCGCACTATTACAGTTTGTTATACCCTTTAACACGCATGTAGGAAGTTTATTGTAAGATGACCTACCGAGACTGAGTACGGTTTAAGCCTAATAATATAAATTACCTGAAAGACCAAGAAGTCTGCGCTCGATATTAAGAGCGTCTACAAAATTCATTAATAAAAAAAATTTACAAAAAAAATTAAGAATTTACAAAAATCTCAAGCAGTAACTTATCAAAACAAAATCTCATATCACCATTAATAGAACTAAAACATGCTTAAAAATCCTATATTTACTAATATAACTCAAGTGTTTCTAAGAGAATGTATTAATTATTTGATTCTTTTATTACTATTTTTAAAAGACGTATATGCCTTATATGATGATCAAAATTTATAGAAGTAAACTTTTTCCTTCAGGCAGAAAAACATTTGTAAATGCCTCTCATCTGTGTACTTGGCTCAAACTCCCATATTCATTAGGTCTTGAAATTACTAGTTTATAAATATATGTGAGAAATTCTAGAGAAAGGAAACTTTACAGAATTTCTGTTTATAGCTACACTAGAAAAGAAAACACTTTTCCTATACGAACTACTAAATACACTTAAAAGGTGCTATTTGAGAAATCTAGAGTTGCCTTGCAATTGAATAAGTTACATCAAAGCACGCCTTTGCCAAATGATAATAATTTAAATAATAATTATTAAAGTGCATAGAAGGCTTGTAAAAGATTCACGTTTATATAAAAACTATTAGAAACCTTTTTGCAAAACGATAAGAAAATTTTTAAACTGGAAGGAACACTGCTTTTTCTCAAACAAGGTTACAAATTTGTCAAAGGCAAGCTAAAATAGTTTAAATGGTCTTAGTGGATTTTCAGAAAAAAGTGCAGTCTTCTTATGAGTTGATAAATGTTGCTCTGAAGCCGTTTAAGCTGGCACTGAAGCTACCACCTTGTCTTCAGCCTCTCTGAAATGGGAAGATTTAAAAACTCCCTAAGCTGTACTAAACGCCCCTTTTAAACTGCATGTAGTCTCCGTCCTTTCGTCTTCTAATAGAAAGCCATTTTAGTAGTAGCGACATAATAAACTTTGCTGTTAAAATTAAAACCCCTTCACCTTAGTGGCAATAATAGCTACTTTCAAAGCTATAGTACCTGATTTTTATACTATATTTTGTTTTTTTCTGTACATGAAATTCTTTCAGAAATATATTTTTTTTTTTCAAATTAACTTATGGACAAGGTTCTCTTATAGAATTGTTCTCAACAACTTCGTTTAAAAATCCTTTTAAAAAAAAAAGATAGCAAGTAAAAAATAAGGTATGGGGGTGGGGGGAATAAGATTTGCAGAAATTGCGAAATTTTGTATTCGGGAAAGTGTTAAGAATTCGATAATTATGCCAATAAAAGGAAGTATACTACTTGGCGGCTAGTCTTTAGCAAAACTGTTAATACAACTACATTTTGGGCATAAAAAAAATTCTACTCTGTGGAAAGTAATTCTCTTAGAAATAAATTTAATTATTCTTAAAAGACACACAGTTGCAACTAAAGAGAGATCTTTTAGCAACAGATACGATATACCTTAAAGTCTCCTACTTTTTTTCGATATTAATTTTAAAAATTCTAGTTTGAACCTTTTTTTTTTAATATTCGTAAACACTTGAGAATGACAATATGCTGGTGCCATTGCATGTGTTTATGCTTGCCCTACGTTTTGCAATTCTTATCTAAAGGTTTATATACCCTTCCATTCCGGGACAATAATCGATCGTTCCTCCTCTTTTCTCCGTCATAAACAATTTAGAGAATACAAAAAAAAAGGATGCTATATGTATAACCGACCTCATGGAACGAACAGCTCATTTAGGGGGCCTAATTGTTTATGTGCCTGTGACCTGTTGATAAAAAATAATCTACTAAACTTTGTAGCACAAACTCTATTTATGGAGACTTCGCAGTATAACTGTTCGAATAGCTCTCTGGAGGTAAAATTTATTTACTCACACTACAATAACGATTTAGCTTAGATATTATTTTATTCATATCAAAAAATTCAGCCTTTTTATATTTGAGTCGAGTTTCTTAATATGATGGTAATTATAACTAATTTAAGACGCCATTAGCTATGTGAAACGAACATAGAATTGAAATTTCTAAGTGTTAAGAGAATACGTATATAACTTTATTTATTTTTTATAGAACCAAAGTTGTCAACAGAAAGCTGCTGCTGGAGAATTAATTGGGAGCTTGTAGTCTTGACTTTCAAAATAAGCTTTGAGTTGCGGTAAGTGACGAATTTCATGATAAAGAGAAGATAATCTCTTATAATTATCTGTAAAAATTTGATAAATAAGTTATAAAAAGTGTACTTTATTTAAGCATGTGGACTTGCAGAAAAAGAATTGTTACTTTAAAGGGAAACCAAATAAAAAATATTGGAAAATTGAAAGAAAACATTTTAAGTAAATAAGTAAAATTTAAACAAAAACAACGGAAGTGCAGTTATTAAGTACTAACATTAAATCGTATAAAGAATATTTTTGAATGGAATTGCGGAAAAATGTGTATTAACTTAAAATTAGAGCAACATTTATAGAAAATTAATAAATAATTTTTAATATTATTAAAAATTGTGCCAAATAAGTAATTATAAATTATAAATAATGTAAGTGGATTTGAACAATTTTTGAAGAAATTTAAGAATAGGGTACCAAAAAACTAATTATTTGATAAAATATTGTACTAAAGCAACCAAAAGTTTTTTAAATTAACCAATTTGATTACAATCAAAAAAAATTAAGTGATTACTAGGATTAAAAAATTGTAGTCAAATAAAGATGACCCTTAATAGACTAAATGTTATTAAATATACCAAGTAAATAAAAATGTTACCGATTTAGCCATGTAGAGTATTTAGCAAACTAAAATTTTTGTTTTTTAACATCAACTAAGTAAGGAATTAAGGCGAAATTATTTATACAAATATATTTTACTATTTTTGAGTTTAAGAAAGAAAAGAATTGAAAAAAAATCTAATTTGCAAAGACAATTGGAATAATATTAAAATACCCAATTAAACTTAAGAGTCAAATTATTAAAACGGTATAATTTGTTTTCTAGGACTAAAAAAAACCAAAAAAAAAAGTAATACGCTGAAATGATATAGAAAAAAGACCAAATTATTCAAATGGCGAAACCTGTTTTTTTGCAAAGACATAGGGAGATAAACTAAAATAACTTTGATTATACAAATAAAAAAAAAAGATTTAAAAGGGTTTGTGTTTTGGATATCAAAAAATATTATATTGCAAGAACAAAGAAGAATTACCTTTAATCATGCCCTTAAAATAAAAAAGAGCGAATTATTAATATGAATCAAAATCCTTTAAGTATAAATAACAGCAACTGGTAAAGACTGCAATAATAAGCCATATAATTATTTATTACACTAAGTGAAAAAGACCAAATTATTAACAAGGTACAATTAGTTTTTCGATTAAAAATTAGTAACTCCAAATACCACAAGATAATAAACCAAATAAATAAAGACCGAATTATTAACATGGAACAATTTGCTTTTGGGAAAACCAAAATAAGTAGTAAAGAACTATTATTTATTGGCCCAAATTATTTATTATATTCGTTTTTTTTTTAGAGCCAAAATAAATTTGTAAAAGTTAATAACAAAGGGACCGAACAACTATTAAATCCACCAGATTATTAACTGGTCCAATTTAGTTGTAAAGCCCAAAAGTAGTAATTTGCAAAGAAGAATTATTTGGTTCTTAAACCCAATATGATGAAAAAGACTCGATTGTTAATATAGAGAAATATGTTATTGGGCGGCTTTGCTTGAATAAAATACATAATAAAGTAGCAAAATATTAAAAAAGAATTTAACTGAGCACTGAAGTCTTTAGAATTTCTTTAGCAAGTTTTTCGTGATGGTCCAACATGACAAACAAATGAAAATCAGCAACACTCGGTTTTCTAAAAAATTTTTATTATTACTAAAATACACTTTAAAAAAAAATAAAAAAATTAAAGATTAAAATTTTAATTATATAGATTAAAGTTTGTACTCATTGGAAATTAAGAATTTAAATTGAAAGACAGAGAGCCAATTTTCAAATTTATTAAAATGCACGCTTGCCTTTTTTTCAATATAGTCTTTTGCTTTTTCTTGAAACCCTTCTAAATCTCCTACGAAAAAAACAAGCAGTGTAAAAGTTTTTTATAAACTAAATAAAGATTTAAAGAAATAAAGTTAATAATTTATACTTCGAAAATTATTATACTACCGTAACACAAGTTAACAAATTGATTTCGAAGATCCATTACTTGGCAAAGCAGTTGTTCTACGTAGCAAAGCTCTCTTTCATCTTTGCCAAGTAAGTCCAACTAAATTCATAATGTTTAAATATAATTAACTTATAAGAATTTAAAAATTCAAATTTCTATTAAAAAGTATAAAAAGATTTTTTTTAAAAATTAAATTTGTTAATATAAAAATTAGATTATTAATTAACAGATTGAAGAAGCTTTCCTTTCTTCCTAAGTAAGTTAAACATGCATTAGATTGCGTAACGTAAAAGTCGCCATCTTTGATAAAAGGTAAGTTTGCTAAAGGATTTTTCTCCGCAATTTTTGGCTTTATGTTATCAAACCTATAAAAAAAAACTTCTTACTAACTAGTATTTTTAATTAAATTAAAATAAAAGAATTTATTTTAGAAAAAATATGATTAATATAAATGGAAATTAGAGTTTACCAAAAAGTAGTTAATTTAAAACAAAAAGTAAAATTTAAAATTTACCACAAAGCAGAGTGAGTGGCTTCAAAGGCATAAAATTCATAATCCATCCTTGCATAAGTGCAAGCCATCTTCAAAGGCGCGACCAACCCTTAAAAAGTCGAAAACATACTTTTCAAAAATATTTTCCATATAATAAAAAAGTTTACCTTGAATTTTCCAATAATATAACACTAGTTTTTCAGGCATTTCAACAATTCTTTTATAATAGTCTTATGTGGAAAAATAAAAGAAAACTTTGAAAACTGCCCATCAAAGTGTATGAAAAAATTGCTTAAATAATTGAGAAATATATTGTTATTAATAAGTAAAATTGAGTTTTCTTAAAAGAATAATGCAGCTCTAATACATACTAATATTTACTTAAGAGGAGAACATTTTATACTTATTAATAAAAATTGAGTATTACAAGAAAACGATGTAGTGCTAGTATTTACTTCAAAAAGGAAAACAATACAGTCACTATAAAGTAAATTTGAAGCTTTTAACAAAAATGAAAGTGCTAATATTTACTTTATAGAGAGAAACTATACATACATGAGCAAAAGTCTAATGAAAAAGAGAACAACACAAAGCCAAAGCGAGACTGTCAGTAAGAAAAAAAATTAAGGTTTATATATAATTTGCTAATTGGAAAAAGCTTAATTTAGTATTTCAAAATTTTTATATAGATTATAATTTGGTGAGGCTGTTTTAATTAGTTTCCTTAACTATTTCGTCTCTGAAGTTTTTAACAGTAGTTGATCATCTGTTTGGACAGCTTAACTTATTTATTTTCCTTATCAGTAAAGTTGGTAACACAACCTCTGTAAAAATTGTTTTGTAATAAAATTAAGTCGTGATAGAGGTAAGCTAATTTCATGTGGCTCTTTTGATATCAAAATAATCGTAAAAATGATAGCACAGCGTTTTTTTTAATATAAGAAAAAACTTTCTGACAGCATAAAAATTAATTATAAGGAGAGGAGGCGCAGAGCTAACATAGATCTTAGCGCATTTAAGCAAAAACAAAGGAAAAAAGTAAATCTATGAACCCAACCAAACTCTGAACAATATTACTATTAATTGTTTTAATAAAGACTTTTACTGCGCACAGGTGAAGTGTATCCTTTAGTTTTTCACATGCAGGAAACCAGACTCCTTTTTTATTATCACAAAATTTAAATCTAAAGACTATTCTTTTAGCAATACTAATATTCAAAGAATTTTTCTTGTTTATAATTCTCTTATAATTCTCTCAATATATATGCGCTCGGGCAATCCATCAAAATTCTATTGTGTATCATTAATAAAAGGACTCCTTCATAGTGATAGTCTCTCCTTGGTGGTAGAATGTGAGGATTTCAGTGAAACTAACTTTAAAGAGGAACAATAAACTTTTATACACGCGTGGAAAACGAATTTTGAATGTGAAACTAATTAAAAAAATACAGAGAACAACTTCTTCTTTCACTCCACCGAAGATGAAACAAACGGTACAATGTTATTTATGACTATTAATTATTGTGAGAATACCCAGTGATGGAGATTAAAATCATATCTGTGGTGTTAAACTTTCGGTATGCCACTACAAAGTGCGTACTGCAAATATACTTAAAGGCAAATTACCTTAAAAGGACTGAAAAAGCAAAAAATTTCACTATCTCCGTAGGGGCAGTAAACGTTAAAAAAACTTAAGAACACGACGTTGTGTATTGTATATGATTGTGCTTCGTTGTGCCGAAATCAAAGCTATCTTAAGGAAAATCAGACATCACTTTCGAAGTTAACTCTATTTAGCTTTCACCTAAATTATAACGAAAAAAAACGGAAGGTAAGTATATATGTTTAGTTTTAAAAGTCAGAACTAAACAAGTTATTAAAATGTAGTTAGCTCGTAATATTATGTAAATAAATTCATAGACTATGTCGACTGCTTAATAGCTTTTATCAGTAATATTAATAAAATACGGGAGTCAATTAGCTCAAATGTGAGGAGGTCTGCGGCATATATAGATTTTATAATAGAAAACGTTTTTTTTACCTCTTTTAATAATCAACAACTGAAAATAAAAGATAAATGTGGGATTAAAACACTAAAGCTATGTCTTGCTTTATAAGCATTAACTCTTAGAAAAAAAAAAGACAAATTGCATTGGATGCATAATACTACTTTAGTTTACTTTTAAAGGATTGTGTAGAACAATACTAAGTTAAGGCTACACATTTAATAATATGGAAAAAACTCGTATAATTTGGATAAAAAGTACATTTATACTTAGAGGTTCAATTGTGCACGAGTAGATCAAAGATAGTTATCGTCCTGAAAACCAAAACTTTATAGTGAATTATCCCTTAGCTATAATAAGTGGATCAGCTTTAGTATTTCATTTTGAGAAGTACTCGGCCATTGACAAACATACTTTCCTCCTAAAATTTTAACCTTAAAGCAGAGCATTCTAGAAAATGAAAGAAAGGATTATTCTAAGGCCCTAAAAAGCTATCCAAAGTTTTTACTGGTGGAGTGTTTCTAAAAATTGATTAATAAAAAGAGTTAAGCAGATGTTTTAAGCTATTTCACTACTGCACTTAAAAGATAAAAATAATCAGACTTGCAGCTACGTGCTATGCAGAAGAAAAATAAAGACTATATGTGAACAAAAAAGTTTTCCAAGCATACTTTTACAGAACAGGAAAAAAAGTCGTTCTCAGGTTCCTTCCCCTGCTAATTAATTACCTTTGTATCAAAATTACTAAATGCCTTCTCAGTAAGTTTACGTTTTATAAAATATATAATATTAGATAAGTTAAACAATCACTTGAATACCTTAAAGAAAGGAATGATGGTTTAAATCTGATTAGTTAATTCTTTTTTTTTTGAAAAATATTTCTAATTTTTTGCTTACGGAACTATATGAATTATTATACCATTTATAGATGTAATATTAAGCAAAGCTTTAATAACGTGCTCAGAATTTCCAAAAGCTTTTCAGTGACGGAATGCATGCTCCTTCGAAAATCAAACTGTACGTTGGATATCAAAGATCCCTCTACAAATTCAGCTCTTCATAGAAATAAACGCTTGTAAAACTTTTCCTATACAAGATTGTAGTCTTGAAGGGGGTACAAGCTTTAAACAAGCGAATAAAGACGGTCATTAATAAAAAATTAATTGTCGTAGCTCCCAGCGTTCAGAAATATGTTGGAAAAATAAAATTAAAACTTCTTAGTTACTGTCCTATAGAATTTATGAGCGCCCATTCTTCAACGGTTAGAATATATTAGACAAAAAACAAAATTAATGCAGTCGTTAGGTAGGAAAGAGAAACCAAAAGGAGACCAAGGTGTTTTGCAGATAGGGTAGCCTAACTTAACGGAAATCATAAGAGTTGACCTTCGTGGGGAAGGGACCTAGAATCTACGGAATATTTTTTGTTTATTTACACCCTCGCCACCTTATGTAAAGAGGTCGTCAGAGACTTTTGACTTTAAAAGCTTGCTCTTCTCATTATTTTTTTTTTAAGGTTAGGAAATTGTTTACCTTACCATTTTCTCGGTTTAAAGCAAGTTTGTCACTTGAAAATTTTAGTAAACGATTATTGGGTGAACCAAATTTGTCCCAACAGCGAACCTCCTAAATAGTTTCATTAACTCGAGTCAGAGCTAGAGCTAACGCAAACTTTCCCCCATCAAAACATCTAGTATCAGTATTCACTTCAATAGCATAAAAATAACTCTCCAAATCTCCCTCTGTAATGAATTGTAAGGGATTTTAACTAAACCTACTATAGAAAAGAGCAAAAATTCAATAGTTTAAAAAATAGGAAATAAACTTTTAAGATTCATGCGGTGAAAAAATACAAACCCGCACGATCTTCAAGAATGAGAAACCTCCTCATATTAACATCCCTAACAGAATTTGGTCTATTTACTACAAAAGCTACAGTTGTTAAGTGAACTCGGCTTTAAGTCATAAAATGAAACCGTACAAACTGATTACTAAAGATATTACAATAGCCGCATACACACGGAAAATAAAAGAAGTTAAAAATTTATTTATTTACATCAAATAGAATATATGATTGAATTCAAATATTTAAAATGAAAAAAATAATATTCCGACATTAAGAAATTTGCTTTAACTATGTAGCAGCGCAGAATATTATTTTTAAATCAATTTCACATTTTTTTGTTTAAAGTATCGTGTCTGTAATCTCGAAATTAGCTAACTTCTACTTCAACCAAACTAACGGGAAAGCAACTACAGAAAAGTAAAAGTTCACTTTTTTTTTCAATACTTCGTAAAATGCAGCTATACGTGTTATTATACCACATGTCCTGTCCAACATACTCATCCCTTCTGCTTATCTGTTCGGTTTTATCTTTGTCCCACACCCTGTATTTCTTCCTTGAAGCATAAATACTCTTCCTCTACAGAAAAAAATTATGGGTCCCTCCTCCTCTCTTCTTCGTTAAATAGTAATAATTATAAATTATAACGTTGATATAATAGGTAGTAATGCTAATTCTAATATTAATAAAAGTATAAGTGGTAGGATGATCTATAAATTATTGTTAAACAATAAATACTTAACAAGTAGCAATTTTTTTTTGAATAGGATATGCATAAGGTATGTCGACTATAATATGCGATTGCTTTCAGTAAAAAAGTATTTTAAATAAAATTAATATACTAACTAATGGGTGTTTAAGACCCAACCCTCTTGGGTTCTAAACATACTCTATGGCCTGGAGGAATGGAAAATTTTTTTCAAGCTAGAACTTTAAAACCGCATTGGATAAATACCAAGAGAATTTATACTAATGGTACTTTTTGCAGTTCTTATTTCAAAAGTAACTTTGCTCTAGTTTTTTTTTCACATAAAAGAGGATGACTTGCTTTAAAAAAAAACAAAATTTTAGATATATTAAGGTCTAACTTTAATTAAATGTATATCTTTATTTTTTATGAAAAAATCCTTTTAGGAGGAAAGTAGTATATTTAAGTAAAAAAAATAAAAAAAAATAAAAATTTAAAGCTTTTACTTATGTTTACTTCTCTTCCCTTGCCGTTTTTAGTTACATTTTTTGTTCTGTCCATGTTTTTGGATTTATAAACAAATAAATTGTTAAACTTTAACCTTTGAACTATTACTTTAGCAGATGCTTTATTTTTTGAAAGCAAAAACTCATTTATTAAACAGTATTAAGCTATTACTTTTATCGGTCCACTTAGA